TGATGGTGGTAATAGTGGTGGTGGTGATGATGATGATGGTTGTGTTGGTGATGATGATGATAATGGTGGTGTTGGTGATGATGGTGATGGTGGTGGTGGTGGTGATGGTGATGACGGTGATGATGATGATGATGGTGGTGGTGATGATGGTGATGATGGTGATGATGATGGTGGTGATGGTGATCATAGTGGTGGCGCTGATGGTGGTCATGGTGGTGGTGGTGGTGGTGATACTGGGGAGAATGACTGGAAACTAATTTTCCAAACATAAGAATAAGCAAATTATGTGATTTCTCAAATAAGACCCTCCACAAGGACCTGATAGGCTTTGTGGAAGCTGTCCAACCCTCAGGGCTCATCTTCTAATTCCAGGAATGTGGAATCCACCTAAAAACACTTCCAGTCCATACTCCGAGGAAAGCTCATCCCTGGAGTCTCAGAAAGACACCCACCTGTACCCATACCCTTGTCGGCAGATTCAGGCACGGATCCAGAGTTGGGACAGATAGCATTCCCTAGGCCAACATGATGAGCTTACAGAAGCTCAGGACCTTTCACACACACTCTGGAGTCACTTAGAGCCACACCAACTGGTTCTCATACTTCCATGGCAAGAAGACTTCACTGTTCCTTCTACTGGACACGTGGGGTCATGGCAGGGAGCAAATGCCACCTGCTTGCTCTGTGGCTATCTGCTTTCTCGACTTTGCCTGTAGAACCCATGGCTTCCTAATCCACAGAGACTGTGCAAAACAATTTTCTGGGCGATACTGTGACCCAACTGGCAAACACACACTCCATGAAACTTATCTGCCTCCCCATGTCCCCGACTGGCACATCACTGTTTATGTAATGCATGTGGATGGAATGGGAAATGTTCTGTCCTGAACTAATCGAATCCTAACTGTACCACGGCTGGAACTTTGCATCATCAGGAAACGAAATCCAATTTCCTTTTGACCTGAAATTAATTTTCAGAAGAAAATCTCCTTATCACCCGCCTCATAATGAGCTTCCAGCCGGCATCTGCTGCCTGAAGGGGTGTGGGGGGAGGCCGCTCAGGGACGGAGTGTCCCTGGTAACTGCCCAGCTGAGCAACAGGAGACCAGCCTTTCCGCAAGAAAGCTCGCTGGCCTGGAGGCAAGTATTTGGAAAGCAGGGCCACTGGTAGTTGGCCACAGTGGACAATAAACCTTTCCCATCGACCTCTTCTTCACGAGGAGTTCAAAGATCGTGGAGGCCTGGGCTGGAACCAACATCTCAACGAACGATTGTGAAACAGAGATGGGGGTTCAGCTGGAATCTCCCAGCAGGCTTTTCTGGGTGAGTATGATTGCTTCTGTTAGGGTGGGAAGTAGGAGGGTTGCTCACCCACCCCACCCCACTCTACTTCTATGAGTCCTGGCCCCACCCTGGCTCCGCCCCCACAGGGTTCCTGGCCCCGCCTCCACTCAGGTCTTTACCTCCTTGTCCTGACCCTGACCCCAACCTTCTACTTCTGGCTCTGCCCCAGCCCAGGTCTTCTGTTCTGGTCCCACCCTATTTCATCTGCAGCTTTTGGCCCTAGCCTGGCTTTTGGCCCCCTGATCATTCCCAGAAGCCCTGAGCAGAGGCCGCTGACCACTAGGACACGGGCATTCGTCCGGCATCTGCTTGGTCTGACTCCAGGGTCTCGTCATATGGAATTCAGGGTGTCTGGACAGACTCAGGGGACAGCCCAGAAGCGAGAGAGACCTGGCACTGATTCCCATTCGGAGTCCACACAGCTTGGACTCTGGCCTCCAGAACTCCAAACCACACATTCCTGTGTTCAGAAGCTGCAGAAACCACAGGACCCTAAGACCCCAGCCATTGAAAGCTGGTCCTCTGAGAACACTGAAAGGGACAGAAAGTGAAGACACTATAAGAGCAGGTTCTGTTGGACAGGACACCTGGCTGGACTGACTGGGTAGATGTAGACGAGAAAGCAGACACAGGGAGTGGGGGGGACAGGAGGGATGTCCACCCACTCACTCACTCACAAATTGTCAGTTTCCCAACATTGTACAGTGAGTCAGTGAGGCTTGTCACCTTACAGCTGCAGTGGGGTGAGCTACGCCAGTATCCCGCGGAATCTGCTCCTTAGCCCCCACCCCACTTTACAGAGGGAGAAGAAAAGCCCAGGCCCGAGTGGTCAAGCCAGGAAGTGAGGTCCGGCCCCAGGTCCCAGGCCCCGTGACTGCAGTCCCTTCGCAGTAATGACTGGAACCAGAAAGAGGAGCAATATTTGGAGAACAATAAATACTTGTTTTTCAAAACCATAGCAGCTGCCCCGTGACCCTGGGGGAAGGGTCATCTGGCCTCTAATCCATTCTGCTGAGACCCGACCTCCCTCCTGTCCCAGACCCCTCGACAGGGGCAGCCAGGCTGGGAAAGGGCCCCCCAGGGAGGGAGGCAGCTGAGTAGACTATGGAAGAACAAAGCCTGTCTAGACCACAGTGGAGGGCCTGCATGGGAGGAAGGGGTTTCCCATATGGTCCTCTCTTCTCACAAACACCCGAGCTACATGCAGGCCAAGGCCCTGCTGAGTGGGAGAAATGCATCTCAGCCTGATTTTTCCACAAGTTACAGCCCACCTGGATGCAAGGCATGGGCCCTACAGGGTCCTCGGGGGCTGAGCTACAGCTTGGGCTGGGTTGCTTCCCAGCACGCCCACCCTCTCTGGTCCAAGCAGAAGGCTCTGCAGCACATTGGTAGGAAGCAAGCTAGACAGAGACCCCCCCAGCTTCCTGCCCCCTGCGACCTGCAGTGCTGTGGGCCAGCCCTTTATCACAGCTCCTCTCTGGCAGCCTTGTTGTTTATTTGCTAACAGAGTCGTCCCCAGGACCTCAGCCCCTCTGCAGCCAAGACTGCCGGCAGGCCGACCTGCCCATGAACCTCAGCATGTTCCCTCCAGCAGATCCCCGGACCAGCACACAGGAAGCCGACATGGGGGAGAAGCCCTCCAGATCCAACTGTCTGGGGGCCCATCCCTTCAACAGACCATCCACTTCATTTGCCCATTTGGGGTGCTTTTGATGTCTCCTTAACAGGTGGCCTGTGCAAGCTGGCCAGCCTCTCCGAGGCTCAGTTGCTTCCCTCCCCCCAGCGGTCAGGAGCCCTGTCCTGAGCAGTCGCTGAGTGGCCGACTCAACACAGCTCGCTGCTCTCACTGCCATTGTGGCTTGCACACCTGCTAAGACAGGGTGATCCTGCCCCCCAGGGGACATTGACCAGGTCTGGGATAGTTCTGGCTATCACAACCGGGAGGTGAGGTAGCATCTGGTGGACAAAGACCAGAGATACTATTTCCACTACCATCAAGCTGATTCCAACTCCTAGTAAGCCCAGAGCAGGACTGTTCTCAGGTTTGAACCACCGACCTGAAACCCATGGCTCCTTAGAGATGCCCCCTAAACATCCTGTTAAAAGGGACCAGATAACCCCACAACAAAAAGTAACTGGTCCCAGGTGTCAACGAGAAACGGTAGGAACTTCCATTCTGCTGGGGGCAGCTCGGAGCAGGGCCTGGACCACACTGGCAGGCCTGAGGTCTCCATTTACTCCTCAGCTCTGCTGGACACATCAACCCGGATAGCATGGCACTGGTATTCCAACAAGGAGACCAAGGCCCAAGGAAGGGACCTGGAGGTTCAGAGCTGTGACCAGGACCCACCCTAGGGTGTTGGGAAGCCCCTGTCCAGAGCTGGGTGTGATAGAGCCCCGGCACTCAATATCATCCTCAACCTCAGAGGACGTGGGTTTCTACCCCTGGACTTCCGGAGCTGCGGCAGGTTTGGGAGTTGTTACGGTTAGAACTATGTCCCCCCATAATATGTGTTGTAACTCCTAACCTTTATACCTGTGACTGGTGTCCTGGTGGTGCTATAGGTTAGGCACTGAGCTGCTAACTGTGAGGTCAGCAGTTCAAACCCACAAACCACTCCAAGAAAGATGAGGTTGTTTGCTCCCATAAAGATTTATAGTCTTGGGAACCCTATGTATAAGATCACTTGAGTGGGAATCAGCTTGAAGGCAGTGGGTTTGGGATGAGGTTTTATATCTGTGATGATAATCCCACTTGGGCCTGGGTTTTCTTTGTAAGGTTAAGGAGGCAGGTTTACCATTGTTATTGCTATCATTAAGTGCCGTGGAGTCGATTCCAACCCAGAGCGACCCTGTATAGGGTTTCCGAGGAGCAGCTGGTGAGCTTGAACCACTGACCTTGCAGTTCAAATGGCTTTGCAGTCTGGCGCTTTAACCAGAACCATTGTTGTTAAGTGCCAACAAGTCAGTTCCGACCCATAGCAACCCTGTGTAGGGTTTCTGAGGACCATAAGGTGTGTCTAAAGTCCATCTCTTTTGAGATACAAACAAGCACATCGGTGAGCTGAGCTGGGGGAAGAGAGATGCCAAACCACACACAGATCTCCTAGGACAGAAGCCTAGTGACACAACAACCTTTCCAAGAACCCATAGAGAGAAAGTCTCCCCTGGAGCTGGTGTCTTCCATGGGCACTTCCAGCCTCCTGAACTGTGAGAAAGTAAACGTCTGTTTCGTAAAGCACCCCCTTGTGGTAGTTCTGTGAGAGTACCATCAGAGCCCTAAGACCAGGGTGCTTTGTGGACTGGGCCCCAGCTTCAGTGGACAGGGAGAAAGGACCCTGGTGAGAGTCGTTGTCGCCTCAGAGGATGAAGAGAGCTGCTGGGGCCATGTTTAGGCGGCTGTTCACAGCCCTGCTATTCAGGGGGAGCGGGGAAATGATATGTCCCCCCAACATGGGAAGGTGTGTCCACTGGTGGCTTTGAGGAGAGGTATGCCTGAGCAGCTGTATGTCAGCAAGGCAAAGACCATCTTCCCTGGTAGAAGCTGGGGGGAGGGGTGAAGACTCAGGTGTGCACCAGGCCCAGGGAAGCAGACGTGCCCCACCAAGGCCCTGGCCCCCTTGTTTCCTCCATATTCCCTCTGCCTGACCCTGTCCCCAGCCCACAGATGAGGATAGAGGCGCAGAGAGGTCCCAGAGTCCCCAGCCCCAGCCTGGAGTTGGGTCCCTTGTCCCACACCACTGCCACCCACAGTCCAGGGCACAGTGGCCCACAGGTACCTACCAGGTGCCCGGCAGCCCTCACCAGTTTGTGGGTGGAGAAAGGGAAGGCTTGGTTACTCAGGTCTGTATCAAGCACCTCCTGGAGAATGTCCCGGCTGTGAGCAAGAACAGAGTTGGTCAATTAGTCAATCAACAAATAACTCTGAGTGCCAGACCCTGGGCACATGGCCATGAGCAGGACTGGCCCTTGTCCTCACCAGCAACATGACAAGAAACAGGTTATGAATGCAAATACATCAAGATTAATACTCCCACCCTATAGCGAGAGGACAGCCACTTCTCCATCTTTGGAGCGAGCTTGCCTGAGGGAGCCAGCATTCACTGAAGACCCACCTGAAAGAGGGATGTCATCTACATCTCCATTGAGGCCCCCGGCAAGAGCACCAACGAGCCAGCCACAACAGAGAAGACTTTAAGAACTGTTTAA